TTTTTCTTTTGACAAAATTTGCACTGAATGCTTTATCCTCACCGATGTTACTGAGATGCCTTTGAGGCCAAAAACCTTCTCAATAAGCAATGCGTTAGTACCTGATGATTAACTGCTTAAGTTGGCTCTTTCATTTGTTCAAGCATTGAAGCAGTGTAGGACTCTGTTTGGGAAAAAATTTTGATTAGATCAGGCTAACCACGGTGCTAAAATGTGCCTGAAAATCGTGGCAGACAATGTTGGTTTGCATCCGATTTGAAAGAATATGTAATTGTGTTGAATAACAAAGAATAGAAACCTTTTTGTTTCACATTTCACATGAACATTTAAAATCCGCTCGTTTCAACAGTTTATGCCTACGTGATTATTAAAACAATTATAGCTGTAAAAATCACGAATATGACTTTGTAATTTGTTTTGTTTGGTCAGCAATACGTCTCAGCTCATTTTTGCGTCCTGTGTAATGTCCACTTGGTTGATAGATTAAATTGAGCAGCAGCGAGTTTATACAGACGAGCTCACAAAGCTGAGCCGCCGCCTCGCCCATCCGCTCCTGTCCACTCTCTACAAACATCAATTTCCTCGTGTCAAATCTTCTTTGATTACACACGTGTCGAGTAGTGAAAACGACAGGGTTTATCTTTAGGTTGCTTGAAATCGGTCCTCATACCCGTAAAGCATTTATTTGGGGGGAGGACACATTTTAACATGTGCATAAATAATGGGAGCAAGATTTAGTTATTTTAAGTGCATCACTTAATGGTCTTAGGATTTCCTTTGCGGGGAATGGCCAAGTGTCGACTTACCAACGTAGGGTGCAACAACCGTGCCCACGCCAAACAGAGCACCAACAATGAAACCAGCAATAACCGCAGAAGGGGTGACACGAGCCCAGTAAAAGGCAAAGTAGAGACTGCCCAGTAAAGGGCCACAGAGGGCACTCAAGCAGTGCCGTATGTTGATTTGGGAAAGCTACAAGATGGCAAAATACAGCGTGTGAAATGATAGTGTGTCCATGTTGTGGGGCGGAGGGGGTTTACGTGCCATAAATGCGATTCAATTGAACAAAAAATCTGCAAAATCTGTAGCCATTAAATAAAGATAATGAGAGGTGTTGTGAAGCTGACATGCACACTAGCTGTAAGGCATTTCTCAGATGCGGTCGTATTCAAGACGGTAGTGCAAATCCCTGCCAATGCCGACGTCCTGCGCCATTCAACTTAATGCTCTTCCATTAACTGGTCAGTAGCATTCGTACTTAGCACAAACTGGGAGGCAAAAGCTTTGGATGCCTCGAGTGATCAGTTAGCTGAAAACTTAATCACCTTTAAAACTTCACGTTGCTTCATACCACTAAAACATAACTTTTAGGACGATGGCTTTTAAGGAAGTTTGTAACACCATCACTTCTGCGTCTGAAATAGCTCGTTGAAATTGCGAATCGTTTAAAGCCAAAAGTTGTAAGACTAACCTCCACCAAGTCGACCAACATTGTACTGAAGAGGAAAACAGCAAGAACAATAAAAACAGTCCAAGTACGAATATTCCTGGTGTGTTCGATGTACTGACGATACTCTCCGTGTGTTGGACAAGTTGGACGCACATCAATCGCTCTGCAATCTAAATGCTGATCTCTAAAAGGTAAAGGCCAACTTGTCACTCTTTTGTTCTCTCATACGACTCAGTTGCTTTTAAGTACCAAGTCCGATTTGTTAAGGTTAGGAATTGTTGGAGTGCTCTCTCGATTTTAGTGTATCCTCTGTATTCCTTCATTCTCGCTGACAGGCTGAATGGGT